TTCTGGTTTTTCTTCAGTGTGTGTACTAGCTTCCTAGGACTGCTATGACAACTTACCACAAGTGTGCAGGCTTAAAATAACAGAAATTTATTCTCACAGTTCTCCAGAAGTCTTAAATCATGGTGCTACCAGTACCATATCCACGGAAGTTTCTAGGGAGGAACCCTTCCTTGCTTCTACTAGCTTCTGGTGGTGCCTGTTTCTTGGTTTGTAGCCGTGTAACTCCAATCTCTGCCTCCTTCTGTACTCAGTCTTCCTCTCTGAATGTCTCTGGCCAAATCTCCTTTTCTTTTCTCTATAAGGACAGCAGTCATTGGATTTAGGGCCCACCTTACATCCAGACTGAATTCATTTTGAGGTCCTCAAATAATTACATCTCCAAAGACTCTATTTTTGCATAAGATAACATTTAGGTTCTGAGTGGACATGATTTTTGGAGAACACTTTTTATCCCCCTGAAGTGTCTAAAATCCACATGGAAAAAATTTTTTTAATAAATTATATTATGTTACCCCTCATGATTTTTGTCTCGAATGTTCACTTTTGAAATTTTGCTATCTTTGCCTAGATCAGTGGTTCTCAACCTTCCTAATGCCGCGACCCTTTAATACAGTTCCTCATGTTGTGGTGACCCCCGATTTCATTGTTACAAATTGAACATAATTAAAGCATAGTGATTAATCACAAAAACAATATGTAATTATATATGTGTTTTCCGATGGTCTTAGGCGACCCCTGTGAAAGGGTCGTTCAACCACCAAAGGGGTCGCAACCCATAGGTTGAGAACCACTGGCCTAGATGGCTTGGCTCCACGGTTGAGCATCAGCCTATGAACCTGGAGGTCACCATTCAATTCCCGGTCAGGGCACATGTCTGGTATGCGGATTTGATCCCAGTGAGGGGCATGCAGGAGGCAGCCAATCAATGATTCTCTCTCATCATTGATGTTTCTATCTTTCTTTCCCTTCCTCTCTCTGAAGTCAATAAAAATATATATTTTTTTAAAAAACTTTGCTATCTTTGAGTTGTTTGCTGTTTATTTCTTTTGCTTTCTTTATTGTAAGATGCACTAAGCACCTAAGTTATAGCCTTCCTATAGAATATCCCTAACGATATGAAGATAATAGCAAATCGATATTTTTGTTCTTAGTAATTGGAAGGCGGGTGAATTTCTCACGAATGATCTATTGCACAAAGAGATAAGAGATCTGAGTTGAGAACACAGACACAGCCATAAAATTGCAAATGGAATGTTTGGATAATGTGTCCCTGCCCAGGTAACCTTGGCTCATGATGTCATGTGTTATATGGGGACATAATTTTGTAACTTTCTGTGCCTACAAGTTAAGCATTAGTGGAGCCCTTCCCCCTACCTTTACCAATGTCAGGAACATTTTCAATACTGTTTTTTGCTGATGACATGACTGGAGCTGAGTGACAAATAGAAACCTCCCGCAGACTGAGCCAGTCACAGATCGTGGCAGAGAATTGGAGTAAACAACTCTAGCAGATTGTCCAAAGCACACCAGCCGGGAATGGGTTTCCAGAATACACAAGTAATTAGGATATATTCATGTATATTGAATATACATTTCTTAATGATGATGTCACAGATATGCAACATTTTCCTGTACAGGGGTTCAGACAGTGTGTCACTTTGGCATGTGAATTATTTTGAGCTGGAGGGAATCCATAACCTGGGTTTGTGAGAAACTTCTACCTCTCCCTTAAAGAATTTAAATTACGGGCCTTGCCCATAGTAGGAGTAATCACCAGAAATAACTTCTAATGACCTATCTATAGAGCAGGGCCAACTTATAATTAGTACATATGTGCTCTTCTTACCTTGAAATGACCTTCCTTCACTCTGAAGCCCCAAGGCATCTTACCTCATCCTTAGCTCAGAATGTCACTAATACCTCATTTTCCTTTTCTGTCTCTGGATCTCTTATGCATATGGGATCTCTGACTATCACATGTATATGGGGTTCCCATACATAGGCATGTAATTAAATTGGATAATTTTCTCTTGTTAATCTGTTTCATGTCTATTTGACTATTAAACCAACTGAGAGAACCTTGAGGGTAGAGGAATGTCTTCCACTCCTACAGTTGTTGCTGTGAGGAGGATATCTCACCAGCCAGGCACTGCTCACTTCAAAGCTGCTACAGTAGAAAGACCATGAGACCTCTAGCATGAGCTGGCAAAAGCAAGAATTCTTGCCAAGCCAGACTCCCAGATCTTTACCTGCAGAATTTGGTGGAAGCACATTAGTGAGAGTCCCCCACACCCCCCACCCCCTTTCCTTAATTTAGATTAAAAGGCTAAAATATTTATGAAATGAGGTTCTTGAGCTTAGCAACTTTGGGTTATTTGCTATGAGAACTCATGAGTTTCGTTAATTCTTTTTTTTCCTTCTCTGTCTGGTGTCTCTCCTTTTATCTTGTTACTAGAGGCCTGGTGCACTAAATTTGTGCACTCAGGGGGGAGTCTCTGAGCCCAGTCTGTGCCCTCTCGCAGTCCGAGAGCCTTCGAGGGAGTCCGACTGTCTCTCTCCCTTTCCCTCCCTCCCTTCCACTCTCTCTGAAAAGCAAATGTGGGCTGAACTCCATTTATAGCTGAGGTCCTACCACTCTCTCTGAAAAGCAATGGAAAAAAAATATCCTCAGGTGAAGATTAGCAACAACAAAAATATAATAAAAGTTCACTCAAAAGCAAGGCTTTCCAAATTAAACAGAATCAGATACTTATTTTTAAACAGGGTGAAACAAAGAGGAAGCAGAAAGGGAAGTCCCAGGACTCCTCCCAGCAGAGTCAAAATCCTTAGATGGTCATTTAAAAAAAGGGGTGGTGGTGGTAAATAAATCAGTGATTGACGCAGTTCAAACAAACGTTTTAATAGCACTAGCAAAGGCTGGATGGGCCAAAATGACCATTTGTTGATCCTCTAGCCTTAAAGGGCCCCAAAGAAGTCTGCTCTCCTTAGGCTGGTCTGGAGAAATGGGAAAGCAGGGATTCCAATGAGAAACCTGATCAGCAAGCTCTTGGGGCAGGCCAGTTTATGAAGTTAAAGGTTGACAAAGAGCTTGGGTTTCTGGATGAACCCTCACTGGAGACCCAAACCATATGACTACATATATTTTATCATTTGTATGTTTGTTTTACACAAGTGGGTAAAAGGGTCTGGGAATAAAAAAAAAGAGAAGTGTCCAGAACCTTTTGACATGGGAATTCCTTGAACTGTGGCACCAAAACCCATTGGTGAAGACCTAACTCAGGCTACAATTAGATTTAAAAATATATATATATATATAAATGTAAGGATTGATACAATCATGAAAAACATAGGTAAAAATGTAAGGATTGATACGATTATGGAAACAAGCTTCATGTAAAGATGCTATGTTACATTTACCTGAATGTTTTATGAGAATGGATATTATGTTGGACCTAAAACAATTCTTCTACCCAGAATTGTAAAACCAAAACCTGTTGATAAAGTCCCATCAGAGACTGTAGATAGGAATGGAAGAGTTGATGGAATTGAGGTAAAAGTTCATATAGGCAAATTGGTGTACTTTGGACAGGCTTTCTATGAAGCAAATGGCCTCACTGTGGAACACTCCATACCTAATATTATAAGATAGAAGGCATAGTTTAAAAATATTAATTGGCTATGCTGAAGAACATATAATTTTTATACCTTCATTGAAAGATTTGTTGCAAACGGCTATAAAAAAAATAAGAAAATAAGATGTACCTAAAATAAAATTACGTACCCAGAGGGAAAGAAGCAAATTAGGGATAAATGTAGCTGAACAGGTAGGTCAGTGTATGATATCATTTGAGGAATTGGGAGTTATGTCCTGATGTTTCAAATCTTTGCAAAACCAAAAATGCAGCCCTCAGAGCCATTTAAAGCCTCCTATCTTTACCATCCTCAACTCCTAAGACTGAAGTGGAAAAAAGAGGAAAAACAAGTTGCTGTGTCGTAAGTACAAACAACTATAGAAGCACTCTAACCCCAAACTAGGCATACTTTCTATAATATTGTCTTCTCCAAAAATATTCATAAGAAAAGGCTATAGCCACCTAAGCAGGTAACCTTAATTTATTCCATCTGCCAGAAACACCGTTTGGATCCAACTATTCTTTCATTTAAACCCCTTGAAATTTCTTAGTTTGCCTCTCTACAATATTAGTTTCAACTTATAATACCAAGGAAATTACATAAAATATATGTAGTCATATGAATGGTTAGTGGATAAAATAATACCATGGTTAAGTCTAAGAGGCTGAAATAGAAATGCATGCAATTCCTCAGTTTGGCCAAGAGATGGAGTTGTTAATACACAATAATGCATATTTTCCAGTTTATAATTTAATATAAAAATTATCATAATTTCTCAAAAGTGTTAATATGAACACCTAATTGGACTTTGTGCTTTATTGAATTTATATGCTTTTAGCAATCATTTCTTCTTGTGGAGATGTTTTCTGGTATTTTATTTTGTCATCTTTATTGATTACTATTTCTGTTTTGAAACTGCTTCATCTGATACTGAAAAACTTTCACCAAGACATCTGTACCCCCAAGATTTCATTCCAACTGCATTTTGATTCAAACTTGTATACACAGAGAGTTGGAAATAAAGTCTAAGGGGGCTGCCTGGTCAGGGATATTTTAAAACCATAGGTGTTCGTAAAGATTATCTCCAATTATGGGTAAATTTGTTTCCAAATTCTTTTTGTTTGTTTGTTTCACTCTATGACAGCTTCTCATCAGTCCATAAATGCACATAACTGCTTCTGCCAGCATTTTTTTGGTTTGCAAATTATATGCTTTCTGAGGCAAAACATAGCAACACAAACATTTAAATTGCCCCCACGGTTTTTACAACCTCAACTGCTGTATTTAATATAAAGGCCACAAAAGGAACATGGTTATTAATGAAAACTGGATATACCTCCTAGGACTCCTGCTTACTGAAATGACAAATGGAGCAGACGGAGAAAACAAAAGTCTATGCTGAGAAAGGTGGGTAAAGAGTAAATCGTGAGAAAAGTTGTAATTCTCATTTTTAAGGCTAGAAATTAGCAAAGGGAAAAGGGGATTTTTTTCCATTTGGTAAATGGGCTTTCCAATATTTACTTGAATATAATACAAGCGATACAGTTTGGGTTATTTAGGGATACTTTGAATGAGGAAGTCAAAAATAGTTGTAAAATATTATATACTAGAAAGAATCTTTATTGTTGTTTTATTTTGTTGTGTTTTTTGTTGTTTTGTTTTCTCTACTTATCAAGTGTCTACCAGTTTTATTTTTAAAATACAGAAAAAAAATTTTATTTGATGATCCTCAAAATGTTTCCATAAGATCAGTATTCACAGCACGGGCCATTTGCCATAATTACAGAGTGTGTTTCAGTCAGGAAAGTAGGCTGGTTCCTGCTTTGTAGGCTGATGGGCCGTTTACTAAACCAATTCTGATCTTCCTCACAGTGACACATCATCTTGTTTCTTCACTCTTCATCTCAAATAATACTTATAAAAGCTCATTTAAAACCCTAGCAAATAACAGAATACTCCAGTACAGCCAAAGCAAGTGTCCAATAGTAGATCTATAGTAAATGCGCTAATTTTTGACAGATAAAGTTGAAATATATTTTTAGGGTAATGCTTGCACCCAGCAATACTTAGCTTGGCCAGTTACTGGTTCCTAGATTAATCTTCCCTTTTAACAGCTTTGGTCCCTGTGGTAGGAAGACTACTGTCAGATGCCCGGAGATGGTTGTACTTCTATCAGAGTCGATTCTTCATATGTGTTTATAACTGGTGGCTAAATAATACACCAAAGGGCATAACTCAATTTATTCTGCTAATGAATAATAAGAATAATAGTTTTTCTCATATGTCTGATTTTTCCTTGGGACTTTGCCAATTAATATATACATGTATAACCTAATTTGATATTAACAACAGTAAGTGAGGCTACTCTAAGTTTTAGTTAAAATTCAAGCTGGTCAGTGTATAGTCTCTGTAAATAATCATAATATAATTTTTAATTTTGTCCTAACATTTTGCAATCAATTTGAGTCCCTTATAAAATGTTCAGATGTGTATTATCATATATTCATGACTTAAGCTTAGGTAATTGATTGGAGATTTATGAAGTATTATATAATAATTTAATTTTAACACCTAAAACCTTTAGAAGTATATTAATGCTGATTAGTTTACAAAAAAATACTTCCTCAATTAAAGCAAAACATATAAAAGTTAATTTGACCTAATTATAAGCATTTATGACCATTAAGAAGTCCTTTCTGAAATGAAAATGTTATCATTTACCACCTCACCACTAAATTTACAGAAGAACAAAAATAGCTAACATTATCATGGTCCAGGTCATTTGCCAAGCTGTTCTTATTTAATACTCACAACAAGCTCAGGTGGCAGAGACTATTGCTCCCATGTGACAGCCCAGGATCAAAGTATCAGAAAGATTAAGAAATTTGGCTAAAGTCGCACAGATGGAAAGATGTGAGATCTGGCTCAGAAACCAGATCTATCCATTCCAAAGGCCATCTCAACCTCTGAATTACATGAAAACTTTCTCTCAGCAAAAGAATTCTCTACATCTTTTACAGAAAGTTAAAAACAAATTAAACCAAAGGGGAATTTTGAATATGTTATATGTTACCATAAATATTTTAGGGCCACCTTTACTGGGTCCTTAGCAATCAGTATCAATAAACATTATTTGATTGATTATTGATAATCTTAAAAACATAAATTCACTTTCTAAAGAGGTAGAAAATATATTACTTAACTAACAATGCAACATTAAACATTTTAACTAAGTAACCAACTGAAGTAAAGTAGTTGTGTATCAGAGCACATGGTCCTACAATACCCCAGCATAGCCACACTTAGGACGTGCAGAAGAATCAGCCTGATTTTGTTTATGACATCTAAGAGATTTTGTGATTCTTCAGAGAAGAATTTTAAAAATTAGAGTGATACGCTGTTAAAGATTATGTGTTGTAAGCAACCTATTCAAAGCGAGTTGATTTTGAAATTGCAAGCAACCACAAACAAATACGATGGCACTTGCACATTGGCCTTCACAAGAAGCATTCTAGGAATTGCTTTAGCATATTCTCCTTAGACCCATGTAGCCAACGCTGCTACTTCTTGATTTCTGAATAGACCGTGCAATTTAAGAAGAAATTGTATGTATCACACATCATAAGAGTAACCTGTTTACATTTATGTAAGTTGTATTTTTTACAGATAACATCAAGGTGTCCTACCTCATTCCTTTTTTGTTGTTGTTGTTATTTAATTATTGCATGGGCAAAACCTTCAGGACTCTTGGGAAAGATAAAGCTCTGGCTTTCAAAGAAACCACTGCCCTCCCCCACTGACCGAAAGAAGTTTGACCATGACTTTGCCATCTCCACTTCCTTTCATGGGCTACATAATATTGTTCGGAACCGGAGCAAAATCCGCAAGGTGATCTGGCTGGCGGTGGTCTTGGGCTCAGTCTCACTGGTGGTATGGCAGATCTACAGTCGCTTGGTCAACTACTTCACATGGCCGACCACGACGTCTGTAGAGGTTCAGTATGTGGAAAAGATAGAGTTCCCAGCTGTGACGTTTTGTAATTTGAACAGGTAACAATTACTCTCTTAATAAGTCTCTATACTTTTGGTAGCATAACCTTTCTTGGATGACTGAAATCAAGTTTTATTATGCATTATTTAACACATGGAAAACAATCTAAGCTCTTCAGTTGTACTTACACACACTCATTTAGGGAGCAAAAAAAGCTTATTGATGTCTTCTTTCACTTATTTTTCTTTTTTCCTTTCTACCTTCTGTAATGATTTGTTAGGCATTGCAACAAACCCTGTCATCAAATGGGTGTAAAAGTCTTGATCCTTTTGCACTTTCAAAGTTGCAAAGAGAGGAAGCTCCACCCCAGGCATATTAGACTGAGATACTCAATCACCCTCACCCCAGCTGCTCCTAGGGTGGAGGTTCCACATTGAGACAAGGTCAGGAGACTAGAAACCACTGCCTGCCCAGAACCCTGCTTGTAAGGACTTTGCCCGGTGGGAGAGGCAGGCACCAAGAACAGGAACTCTGACACTCTCCCCAAGGGGACTCTTCTTATAATTATAATTATAACTGCAGGATCTGGCCTAAACCAGCAAGTCGGACATCGCCTGAGGGGTCCCAGATTGTGAGAGGGTGCAGGCCGGGCTGAGGGACCCCCTCCTCTTCCCTTGCAGGAATTTCGTGCACCAGGCTTCTAGTTTTAAATATAAAAACACATGCAAAATGGGAGTACAGAAGGAGAAGCGAGTGAAGAGAGTAGAAAAATATTTTTAAGACATCGAGTCCCAAACTTTCTCCCGAAGTTTGCAGAAAAGCTTTAATCGACACATCCAAAAAGTTCAATGAACTTCCATAGAATGAATACAGAGATTAGCAGTCAGGAACATCATTGTGGAAATACTGAAAGTCAGAAAGTCAAAATAGATTCAATATTCTAGACACTCTAATTGTGGAATAGGTAAATTCTTAATTATGAAGCAGGAATTTTAGGGGGAATATAGGCAAGCTAAGGGATTTTTTTTAGAATTGGGGTCCATGGAAAAAACAAGGGGCTGCAGACTTGCAGAAGGTACATTTCCATAACACAAGGAAGCCAGGTGCAGTTACATTTCCATAAGACAAGGAAGCAGCAACAGTATATTTCCATAGGACAAGGAAGCAGCAACAGTATATTTCCATAGGACAAGGAAGCAGCAACAGTATATTTCCATAGGACAAGGAAGCAGCAACAGGTATATTTCCATAAGACAAAGGAACTGGAAGTAGCCAAGAAAGGTCTATATTTGCAAATAAAGAGAAGGAAGCCCTTCATTCAGATGGAAAAAAAGAAAGCCCAGAGGAATGGAAGGACTATGAGGGAGGAGGGCTCAGGAATCACTATAGTAACCAATTCGAAGGGGAATATTGACCAATCAGAGGGGATATCAGGACACAGGAACTGTAGCCTTTATAAATCATGGGGGGGAAAAAAATCAGTGGGACCCTTTTCCCCTCCCTACTTGGGAGTCCATTCTGTGGGACTCTTCCCTCTCCCCACGTGGGAGTCTGTACTTGTTCTTCAATAAATCTCCACCTCTGCTATACCTCTTTCTGCCCGTGGATTCATTCTTCGATTCTGGTGGACAAAGAATCCGGTTCCAGTCCAAAAATTTGGTATCAATTATAAGAGACTTATTCTTCCTTAGATGACAAAGAACTAAGACATCATCAGTACTGTAGGGATAAGAGACATCCTCAACTCCCAAAGGTTAATTTGACAGATAGATTCTTCGGATACTCATTCATGAGGATTTTATACAACATTGTTTGGCAAATTATTAACAGATCAGGTAAAGAACTCAAGCTGCCTACTGTCTGGTTCTCAAAGCAAATGATCTTCAAACTTTTTAGCTCATGTGTCATATAAAGGAACTTTGAAAAACTATAATTTGATGTGCATATTTGAAATTGATTTTTTAACCACAAGCTTAAATGTTTATGTCTTAAGTTTAGGATATCAAAAATATTATAAACTTTGTTATATAAAATAGGATAAGGATTAACTGTAATGAGAATAAATACAGGGTGTCCCCCTAAAAATGTATACACACTTTAACAGCTGATAGTTCAATTGATGTTTCTTTACAGATTTAACTCATTTGAATTAATAATTATTCAAAGTGTGTATACATTTTTGGGAGGACAACCTATATTTCATGAGTCCATAAAACTTTAACTACTTTATTAAATAAAGTACATTGATATGAATTATGTATATTTTTATCTAGACTTTAATTAAATATCACAATAATCTGGAAGACTCACAAAATAACCAAATTATATTTACAATAACAAATTTTATTGTACTACTTAAGCTTTTTTCAATTTACAGGGTCCCAATAAAGGCCCAAATACCCAGTGTTTAACATTAAGTTTTACCCGAATCAGAAATATGTGCATGACAAGCTAAGAAAAAGTTGAAGGAGCCTTAGAATTAAGTCTAAGAACCAATCAAAGTTCCCCTGAAGTAAGCTACAATTTATTTATGCTTCTGTTAAGAGCCCTAAGATTGTTAAATACCAGTAGGCATTATATGCTAAGATTTGTGATAGGTGAAGGGTAAAACCTCTTTCATGGATGATAGGATAAATATTGTAAATGCAGGCTCTTTTTTAAGAGTAGAGGATCTAGAAATTTATTGAGGAGTACCCTTGAGCCCATCCCAATTTGAAGACCATTCCTCTAAGATGCATTGCATTCAATTCACATGAGGAAAAATAAGGTTTAATTAACATTGCAATTTACTTAAAGTTACCATCTAGAACAGAGGTCCTCAAACTTTTTAAAAAGGGGGCCAGTTCACTGTTCCTCAGACATTCCACACGTGCGCACTGTGGGCCCAGGACGAGTTGGCTGCTAAGCAGGACAGGCAGTGGCGGCAAAAACACCCGGCGGGCGGGATAAATGTTTTCGGGCTGCACGTGGCCCGCGGGCCGTAGTTTGAGGACCCTTGATCTAGAAACTGGAAAAGATCTGTTGACCAATCCCTAATCAAACACTTGTGCTGATATACCTTGGCCATAGGAATATATCCCCGAGGTGAGGGAACTTTGCCAAGAGACTTCTGAATATTTGCCATGGGACCAGGGACCTATCCAGCGTACATGAAGCTCAGAGTGGATCGTTTTTAATACGACTACTCTATACGACAAAATCATTTCCAGTAACAATCATGAAAATAAACAAGTGATAATAATGAACTACATGTTTTAATGCCAATAAAATGTTAAAATTAATAAACGTAATACAAAAATGCCAATTCAAAATAAAACTGAAAGAAAAGAAAAATTTAGCACTTGGAGTGATTTTCAAATGTCTCCGTGTTAAAAATTTCCACTAAAATATCTTGACCATAAAATGTGTCATACATTTCCATTATATTTGCTAAAAATAACTGCTAAAACTTGTTTTCTTTTATAAATATCAGAGAACATGATTAGATATAGTATATAGTGAAGTTATTTTGTCCATTGTTTTTAAACAAGTAACTCAAAAGATTAAAAACACACACACAAATAAACAAGTAACTCAAGTTCTGTTTCTTCATCTTTACAATAATCACTGCACTTCTTTATTCCAAATCTCGGTTTAAATGCAAAAAATAGTGTTAAAGCATTTTACATGAAAACCAAAATCATGACTTTCATACAAATATGAAATGAACACATGTCAAAGATTTTATTAATTAGTGAGAGAACTCTAATGTGTTAAAATTAATTAATAGGAGAGCTCAAAAAGAAGACATTCTTGAACATTTTTCATCTCCACAAAATGATTTATAAAATATTAACTTCCTGCTAATACATGGTAGATTTAGATTTGTTTTAGGGAGGCTCAATGAAGGACTGAATTAGGCATCAACTTGGACACCAGATAAAACATTCATTTGGGTCACATAAATTGGGGAAGTGTAGTTAGAGATATTAATATACATAAGAAGGACTTCTTTAGTAATTGGTTGTCAGTTTAAATTGTTCAAACAAACCAATGTACTTTTATTATTATTTTCTATTACTAGCTTCTTACCAGTATGTTAAATAAAAGAGTCAGGTAAACTATAACTAAGCAAGGTTTTTAAAAGAATATTTTGGAAAGAATTTTGAAGTTTGAAATGAAGTTGAAAATAAATTCAGCAACACATTTTGGTCTTATGCTGAAGAATATGCCTTACAAAGCTTTTTATTTCCTTTGTTCCAAATATTGTTTGATTTTATTCATTAAGGTTAATCCATCTACCTAAAGTACCCTCATGATCTCAACTATTAATATTTTTAAATGCACCCCCCTCCCCTTTAACCTTTTAATCTATTGTAGTCATACCTCCTACATGATCATTTCTCTGCATAATCATCCTAAAAAGAATCCAGAGAACATTGCGTGAGGCAGTATTGACTCAGCCTGTGTGGGACTCCAAAGTCACAGGACTTTGGAACAGATCCTGTGAGTCATTCCAAGTTAGAAAGCTGAAGCAAATTAAAGGCCCATTACTCAATTTAGGGCTCACACTGTTCTTCAACCCCAAATCTGTGGCTAATGTAAACTTAATGCCTCAAAAGGTCAGCAGAAACACTTCTGAAATGAAAAGCAAGGTTGTCAGATGTACTGTAGTTAGTTAGACTGTCCCTAAGATGGAGGCTTGAGAGTGTCGCTAAAGAAAGGCAGAGTCGGCCAGGCTGCCATGCTCAATGGTTGAGCATCGACCTATGAACCAGGAGGTCAAGGTTTGATTCCCAGATTGCAGGCTTGACCCCCAGTGTGGGGCCTAAAGGAGGCAGTCGATCAATGATTCTTTCTCACTCTCCCTCTTTCCCTTTCCCTCTTTCCCTTCCTCCCTGAAATCAATAAAAACAGATTTCAAAAAAAGACAAAGTCAGAAGAGGATAGGTGGGTTTTTTGTTTTGAGGTTTGTAAAATAAATATGTGAGGGTTTTTTAAAATTGATCTGAGAGAGAGAGACAAAGGGAGAGGGGGAGAGAAACATTGATGTGAGAGCAGAACACCAATTGTCTGTCTCCTGCACACCCTCTACTGGGGATAGAGCCCCAAATCCCGGGTATGTGCCCTGCCCAGGAATCAAACTCGTGGCCTTGCAATGCATGGGCTGAGGCACAACCAACTGAGCCACACCGGCCAAGGCTTAGGCTTCTGGTTTTAAGACAGTCCTTGCAAAACTCAAAGCTGGTTAAGTAAGGTGTTATATTAGAGACTGCTCATGAAAGCAGTTTCTTATCTCTAAAAGACTGTATATTTGTCTGAGATTTTTTTCCCCAATTTTTGTTTTGTGTATGCCCTACTTTAACTGAGAAAGGGTTTAATGTGGCTTGTATAAGAAAGAAAAAGAATACATAAAAATAACATAAAGGGAAGTGAAAATAAAATATAAAACCTGGGACATAAAGAGAGCCCAGGAGTGAGGTTATACGCAAGCCACACGGTCCCTTACACTTATTAAGAGTGGATCACACATTTCATTCCATGTTTTCTAGCAGTCAATTTAAAGAAAGTTGGTTCAGTTTCAAGATTTATAGTATCGAAATATTAGTCACATTTGAAAAGAATGTAAGGTATGCAAATAAAGAACAGTACATAATGCAAGGCAGAAATTGCTCAACAAAATAAGAGACTTGCAAATTACTTATAGTAGTGAGATCAAATATGTTACTTCTGCTTTGATTGCCAGGAAAACACTTTGATAATAATGAAGCATTTATATAATGAATATTTACCTATCATTCACTACATTTCAGGCATTCTTCTCAATAGTTTAGGAAAGATAATTCAATCATAGAAATAACATTCTGAGATAGGTGATAGTAACATATACCAACTTTAGAAGTGAGAAAACAGTCACAGTGAGATGAAATTTGCTAAGTCATACTAGTAAGTGGCTCTAACAATCATGATCCATGACAGAAACAGAACCAGCATGAGTGATATAAAATAAGGGCTATACTATAGGGATTGAGCCCCCACTGAATCACAGGGGCTGGGCCTGAAGTCAGCAAGGTCAGCAGCCAGAAAGACAGATAGATATGAAGTAAAGGGCATGAGCAGAAGCTGGAGATGTGTGTCTCTCTTTTTCACTACCACCCATCTTCATGGTGACCTGCAGGACAAGTTGGCACATTTTCCAGATTGTCCTCTCACTGACCCAGGATTTGAAGAAACTGAAAGAGGAGATTGGGCAGGAGTTGGAGGAAGGGTCCTCCTGGCTACTGTCCCATACCACGAGTGGAGTCAGGTCATGAGCCCAAGGAGAGTGAGGAACCATAGCTTCTGCCCAACAATGAGCTTCAGGTTGTAACCAGATACACAGAAGGAAGGGGATGTTGCAGTTTCACCATAGCCATGCAAACACAGTACAAAGCCACCACAATGGCAAAGGGGATCTGACTCCAAAGTCTATATTTCTAACAGCTCCACATTTCCACCTCTCCCTTTATGTTGAGTCTTGAGGATCCATCAGGGTGTATCCATATCAAGGTCTGGAAGGTATTCTAGGTAAATGAAACTGTATGTATAAACACAAGGTAAATTACAGGATGTGATAAAGATCTCTTAGGAGCCAAAACCGGTTTGGCTCAGTGGATAGAGCATCGGCCTGTGGACTGAAAGGTCCCAGGTTCGATTCCGGTCAAGGGCATGTACCTGGGTTGCGGGCACCTCCCCCGTGGGAGATGTGCAGGAGGCGGCTGATTGATGTTTCTCTCCCATCGATGTTTCTAACTATCTATCTCTCTCCCTTCCTCTCTGTAAAAAATCAATAAAATATATTTTTAAAAAAAAAAGACCTCTTAGGAGTCTAATTTTGCTTGAATGTATTATGAATGTGGGGAAGTGTAGGAGAGAAGCAGGAGAATCTGGTATGATCTAGATGTGTGGGCTTTGTCCTCTAGATAAAAACAAGTTCTCATTATTCTAAATAATACCTGTATTCCTACTGATAGGTTCCAAACTGAAGCTGTAGCCAAATTTGGTGTTATTTTTTTCTTATGGAATATTGTATCCAAAGTCCTCCATCTCCAGGAAATCCGTGCCAATTCTACTGGTTTTAAAGAGGCGATTGATTTTCTTGCAAGTCAACAAAACTTCAGCATTGCAGAGTTTGTCAGGAAAAATGGCTTTTATCTCAACAACAGCACTTTGTTGAAATGTGACTTTTTTGGAAAGCCATGTGGCTCACAGGTAATGATTTGTTTCTTTGAATATCATCAATATAATAAGCTACTTTACCAGACTGTTTCACATTGAGATAAAGTTTATTCCCATGGACAATCTAAATTTGCTTAACGATTATGTTGCCTTAGCTCAGCCTTATGATGTCAGAGGGTAATAGTTATGTAAGAGACATATTTCCTTTTTTAAGTAATTAGATAAGAAAAGGTAGAGAACATAAATCGTTGGCTGCCTTTATTGCAGGATAATAGTCCTTCCAAAAGAAACACAAATTTAACATAAGATGGTATTTTAATTTTCCCATTCATCAGTGAACAATATGTTCCAATGCAACATTTTTATTACCATTAAGCAAGAATATGCTGTTTTTATGCATGTGGTATTATATCAGAGGTTATAGAAAATGAGAAGGGCCCAGTATTTGACTATAAAATTATTTATATTTCTCTAATTACTCATAACATCTTGTTTTTATTTACTTACATTTAAGATAAAATTGTTGACATATCTGGAATCTGCAAGCAAAAGTATATAGGCAATTTGACCCCTTAGTTCCTGTATCAGCCATTCTGTAGCATGTGTTCCTAGATGATTCACAAATTCATGATCCTAGGACTCAATTTCTTATCTTTTCGGTAGCCTTCCTTAGCCCACAGTAAACAGAAAAGAAGTGCCTGAGAGACATCTGACAGAGATGAAGCCCTGCTCTAAACTCTTAATTTAGAGAAGAAGCTCTTCTATATTGCTTTTTGTTTACAAACATATTTAAAAGTATCACCAAGGAATTTTGTAGTAGATATTTTCAGGTACAAATGACAGGAACCCAACTCTGATAAGCTTAAGAGTAAAAGGAATGAATTGAGTTAAGTAGGAGCTCAGCCAAAGGACTCTGAGACTATCATTAATATGCTGTTTCAATTTCCATCTCATGACTCCAGTTGGCTTCTTTCTACAGAAGTCCTCCTCACACAGAGCCAAGAAGGCTGCTGACAACTCTAGCACCATATTAAAATAGTTGCCCATGCTGTCCACTCCTGTATCCACTTACTAATCCCATGGGAAATTCTAATTAGCTCTACTTAGGACCCATGTCAATTATTGAAACAATCTCTGATACAAAGCAATAGGGTATTAAGATTGGCCCTGCTTGTATCACATGCATCTCCATAGTGGAGGTGGTTGGAGGAGGAGGATCAAAGGAGCCAAGCTGATGGCTGGCCCACGGACCCTGCACGGTGGTGGGGGGTGGGGGGGAAGGGTCGCTCTATAAAAAGGATGCTGAGGGAGTTCTCCATAAGTAAAATATATGTTTCCATGAATCCTTAGCAAATATAAAACAAATGACTTTTAAATGTTTTTTAAACTATGCTAAATTACATATGAAAATGTCTCAATGAATCACATACACATTGACTAGTATGTATCCAAAAGAATGAAAACTCTCATTGAATATAAATAATTAGACTGTCTAGTATTCTTGATATTTCTGTCTAATCATTTAGACACCTGTGATTTAAGAAAAAAAAATGTTATAGCAATTTGAAGTTTAGAAATGACCAATATACCCAGCTGATTTTGTTTTATTTGGTTCATTTTCATATTGGAGGATTTCGCACATGTCTTCACTGAATACGGAAATTGTTTCACTTTTAATCATGACGAAAATATCGAAGCAAGGGAAAAAGTGAGTGTCTCTGGAAGAGGTTTAAGCTTGCTCTTCAATGTCAATCAGGTACTACATTTTTTTAACCCGAGCCAGAGCTTAAGACTAATAATAATAAGCATGGGTTTTTAAAGATTTGGTCAAAATATTTTGCCCTGTCAAACTGTTCCTACAAGTTGGATATTATTTTATTTTTTGTTAATTTAGTTTAGAGTCCTATGGATGCAACTATTGAGTTGGAGATTAAAAGACAAACTGTAGAGGCAATAACCTGGACACTTGTAGCTATATCACTGACTACCATTACTGTGACTCCAGAAAATGGTTGTACCACAAAATAAGAAAACCAAACAATTCTAACTCTTGATTTATGGTTAATGTAAGATGATGCTGGGCATTTAAAAAATAAAGTTTAGATTTACATGTAAATAAGGCAATGTGTTTTAAAAAGAAGCCATATATAGATATTTCACAAAGCATTGCATCTATGATCTGTAAAGATGATAAAAATAATTTTTATATAAAGAAAATTGTAGCCCTAGCCAGTTTGGCTCAGTGGATAGAGTGTCGGCCTGCGGACTGAAAGGTCCCGGGTTCGATTCCGGTCAAGGGCATGTACCTTGGTTGCAGGCACATCCCCAGTAGGAGGTGTGCAGGAGGCAGCTGCTCGATGTTTCTCTCTCATCGATGTTTCTAACTCTCTATCTCTCTCCCTTCCTCTCTGTAAAAAATCAATAAAATATATTTAAAAAAAAAAGAAAATTGTGTAAGTGGACCTTGATTAAGCCTAATTTCTATAAGTGTGTAAATTGTCTAAACAGTTCTAATTACTTAGGTTTTAGTGTCCAGACACCTGAGAAATGAAGTGGTGCTACCTTTGAGAGTTCCAGATAGAGCTCTCACCTGCCGTCTTGCTCAACTAATCTATATAATAAAAGAGAAAGCATATGTCTTCACTCTTACAGGAAAATTAATTTGAATTTTAAATAAAGCCAGATTTTATTTACAAAGAGAAGAAGAATGCCAAATAATTTTCTAAAACAAATGAAACAAAGAGAACAGCCAAAGATAAAGCAAATAAAAGGCCACTGGGTGAAGAGAGAGCCAGAAAGTAGATGATTAAAATATGTCTTTAGCCTTCATAAAAGCCAAGCGACCGTTACAGCAGAACGACCAGATGACTGGTCGCTATGATGTGCACTGACCACCAGGAGGCAGACACTCAATGCAGGAGCTGTTCCCTGGTGGTCAGTGAACTCCCACAGAAGCTGGGCTCATGGCTGGCGAGCGCAGCGGCAGTGGCAGAAGCCTCTCCTGCCTCCATGGCAGTGCTAAGGAGCAGTGAGCAGGTGGGAAGTAAGGAGCGAGAGAGATGTCCAACTGCCGGACATCCTTAGTGCTGCCATGGAGGAGGGAGAGGCTCCTGCTACTGCTGCTGCGTTCGCCAGCCGTGAGCCCAGCTCAGGGCTTCTGGCTGAGCAGCACTCCCCCTGTGGAGCTCACTGACCACCAGGGAGCAGCTCCTGCGTTGAGTGTCTGCCCCCTGGTGGTCAGTGCACATCATAGTGACTGGTCGTTCCGCTGTTCAGTTGATTTGCATATTAGTCTTTTATTATATAGGATAACTTCCTCTTGTATCCCATTTTTTATGTTTAAACACAGTACTGTACAGTTCAATGCATGAACCCATGCTTGTATATCGATCTGATTAATATTTTCAAGTCATTCAGCTATAAAGCATATGGTCATTTCAAACTCTGTATTACAAATTTTACAAGCTAGAATTTCCTAACTACTTTAAAATACAACTATAATCTGAATATCCAATACAACATTCCATAAGTAAATGACACTGAAATACTTCTTCATATGAGCCAGTTAAGTGTTTCATACAGTGTTATAGCAGGCCACAGAAAAATGGGATTCTGAGTTATAAATGGAATATTAGGCATGGCTATTAAATGTAATTCCATAATACAGTTGACCCATTCACAATAAAAATCATTATTTTCCTAAGTCCATTCCTTCTCCTTGTAGCCTGAAACTGATAGCCAAATTCCCGGAAGTATAGTCTTAAATTTATTTATCTGATATAAGGTTGATAAAAGAAGAGCACGGGGGTTAGAGAAAGCGTATGACTTCACTCTTAGGTAAAAGTGATCCAAGCAAAACTGTCAAAACCTTAAAATGTGATTCAACCCTAGAAAGGATGTGTTAGGTGTTTAATTTTCATAGCTTACAAAGAGATTAAGGACTGACCAGAAATATTTTATTTTAAGTAAATCAAATTCTGTCATGTTAAAACTAAATCTCAAACTTGTATAGAATTAATGTCAATTTGTAATTGGGGAGAGGGTGTATTTTTGTTTCAGGAGGAATTCACTGATGACCCCACTCTTGGTTTTGTTGATGCTGGAATCATCTTTGTCATCCATTCACCAAAGAAGGTGCCACAGTTTGATGGTTTAGGTTTGTCATCACCTGTGGGCATGCACGCACGGGTAACCATCCGCCAAGTGAAGGTAAATATTGGCAAAATGTATAATATGAGGGAATTAAGGGGGTAGTGAATACATATACGTATAAACAACATTTTTCACTAAAACACCCTTTCTTCCATGACATTAGAACATCCCTGGAAATTCCAGTTTTATTTCAAATACTTTACTAGTAGACACACATAGGAAAAACAGTGATTTCACATTCACAATGTAAGTGGAAGCTAGCAAGCCTAGCAAATGCAAGATAACTTTCAGTCGCATTAGAGATGTAAGGCTTAGGAAGTACAAGAGACACGGAAGTTGCTGAACTGTGCACTTTCTCAATGGGACGGTCTGTGAAGGAGAAAAATAAGTGGGAAAAGCAGAAATGTTTGAGTCAGACATGTCTGCTAGGTTTCCATTTGCCAGATACTTGCTCTGTAGCTTCTTTAATCAACTCCCGGAGTTTCCTTCTCCTCTCTGTACACGGGGGGAATGTGTGTGAATAACATTTCCTTTTCACAGTATGAAGTTTAAGTGGAATCATATTAATTAAGCATATACCATATTGCCTGGTACAAAATAGGTGCTCAATAAAAAAAAATTGGGGGTGTGATTTTGGTTGCTGTTTTGTGGGTGATCTGATGAATATGCTAACATATACTTTCCATAAATGATAATATTTTATGTGACTCAATGCTTAGAGCAATCAGACTGTCTGAATCTGATTTTATTAAGGTACAGAGCATTTGGGATACTGTTAAAGGACCACTATTATACTTACCTTCAGATATTTTTTCAGGTTAATAGAGTAGGCAAAATTGGCTAATGTAGTCAACTAAAAAAATCAAAAAGGTATGAAAGAAAAATAAAAGATTGTGTTAACCAGTGTCACCCCAATAAAGGTAATAACAAGGAAAAAAGTAAAAGTAAAAAATGTATATCAGTCTTTCTTGTTGGGGTACCAAGGGGTGGACTGGCTCAGGAAAATCTCCTGAACCAGGTATTTATTTTATCTCAAGACAGTTCACCAAGAATACCATGGGGAGAAT